GTCCGGTCCTGACGAGTCCTTCAGACCAGACTGAATGAGGGCTACGCTGACCTCCTAGTCACCATTAAACTTGTCCGGTCCTGACGAGTCCTTCAGACCAGACTGAATGAGGGCTACGCTGACCTCCTAGTCTCCATTAAAGCAGTCCGGTCCTGACGAGTCCTTCAGACCAGACTGAATGAGGGCTACGCTGACCTCCTAGTCTCCATTGAACCAGTCCGGTCCTGACGAGTCCTTCGGACCAGACTGAATGAGGGCTACGCTGACCTCCTAGTCTCCATTGAACCAGTCCGGTCCTGACGAGTCCTTCGGACCAGACTGAATGAGGGCTACGCTGACCTCCTAGTCACCATTAAACCAGTCTGGTCCTGACGAGTCCTTCGGACCAGACTGAATGAGGGCTACGCTGACCTCCTAGTCTCCATTTAACCAGTCCGGTCCTGACGAGTCCTTCGGACCAGACTGAATGAGGGCTACGCTGACCTCCTAGTCTCCATTAAACTTGTCCGGTCCTGACGAGTCCTTCGGACCAGACTGAATGAGGGCTACGCTGACCTCCTAGTCTCTATTAAACCAGTCCGGTCCTGACGAGTCCTTCAGACCAGACTGAATGAGGGCTACGCTGACCTCCTAGTCTCCATTAAACCAGTCCGGTCCTGACGAGTCCTTCAGACCAGACTGAATGAGGGCTACGCTGACCTCCTAGTCTCCATTAAACCAGTCCGGTCCTGACGAGTCCGTCAGACCAGACCGACTGAGGGCTACGCTGACCTCCTAGTCTCTATTAAACCAGTCCGGTCCTGACGAGTCCTTCGGACCAGACTGAATGAGGGCTACGCTGACCTCCTAGTCTCCATTGAACCAGTCCGGTCCTGACGAGTCCTTCGGACCAGACTGAATGAGGGCTACGCTGACCTCCTAGTCTCCATTAAACCAGTCCGGTCCTGACGAGTCCTTCGGACCAGACTGAATGAGGGCTACGCTGACCTCCTAGTCTCCATTAAACCAGTCCGGTCCTGACGAGTCCGTCAGACCAGACCGACTGAGGGCTACGCTGACCTCCTAGTCTCTATTAAACCAGTCCGGTCCTGACGAGTCCTTCAGACCAGACTGAATGAGGGCTACGCTGACCTCCTAGTCTCCATTGAACCAGTCCGGTCCTGACGAGTCCTTCGGACCAGACTGAATGAGGGCTACGCTGACCTCCTAGTCTCCATTAAACCAGTCCGGTCCTGACGAGTCCTTCGGACCAGACTGAATGAGGGCTACGCTGACCTCTTAGTCACCATTAAACCAGTCTGGTCCTGACGAGTCCTTCGGACCAGACTGAATGAGGGCTACGCTGACCTCCTAGTCTCCATTTAACCAGTCCGGTCCTGACGAGTCCTTCGGACCAGACTGAATGAGGGCTACGCTGACCTCCTAGTCTCCATTAAACTTGTCCGGTCCTGACGAGTCCTTCAGACCAGACTGAATGAGGGCTACGCTGACCTCCTAGTCTCTATTAAACCAGTCCGGTCCTGACGAGTCCTTCAGACCAGACTGAATGAGGGCTACGCTGACCTCCTAGTCTCTATTAAACCAGTCCGGTCCTGACGAGTCCGTCAGACCAGACCGACTGAGGGCTACGCTGACCTCCTAGTCTCTATTAAACCAGGCCGGTCCTGACGAGTCCTTCAGACCAGACTGAATGAGGGCTACGCTGACCTCCTAGTCTCTATTAAACCAGTCCGGTCCTGACGAGTCCTTCAGACCAGACTGAATGAGGGCTACGCTGACCTCCTAGTCACCATTAAACCAGTCTGGTCCTGACGAGTCCTTCGGACCAGACTGAATGAGGGCTACGCTGACCTCCTAGTCTCCATTTAACCAGTCCGGTCCTGACGAGTCCTTCGGACCAGACTGAATGAGGGCTACGCTGACCTCCTAGTCTCCATTAAACTTGTCCGGTCCTGACGAGTCCTTCAGACCAGACTGAATGAGGGCTACGCTGACCTCCTAGTCTCTATTAAACCAGTCCGGTCCTGACGAGTCCTTCGGACCAGACTGAATGAGGGCTACGCTGACCTCCTAGTCTCCATTGAACCAGTCCGGTCCTGACGAGTCCTTCGGACCAGACTGAATGAGGGCTACGCTGACCTCCTAGTCTCCATTAAACCAGTCCGGTCCTGACGAGTCCTTCGGACCAGACTGAATGAGGGCTACGCTGACCTCCTAGTCTCCATTTAACCAGTCCGGTCCTGACGAGTCCTTCGGACCAGACTGAATGAGGGCTACGCTGACCTCCTAGTCTCCATTAAACTTGTCCGGTCCTGACGAGTCCTTCAGACCAGACTGAATGAGGGCTACGCTGACCTCCTAGTCTCTATTAAACCAGTCCGGTCCTGACGAGTCCTTCAGACCAGACTGAATGAGGGCTACGCTGACCTCCTAGTCTCTATTAAACCAGTCCGGTCCTGACGAGTCCTTCAGACCAGACCGAATGAGGGCTACGCTGACCTCCTAGTCTCTATTAAAGCAGTCCGGTCCTGACGAGTCCTTCAGACCAGACTGAATGAGGGCTACGCTGACCTCCTAGTCTCCATTAAACCAGTCCGGTCCTGACGAGTCCTTCGGACCAGACTGAATGAGGGCTACGCTGACCTCCTAGTCTCCATTGAACCAGTCCGGTCCTGACGAGTCCTTCGGACCAGACTGAATGAGGGCTACGCTGACCTCCTAGTCTCCATTAAACCCGTCCGGTCCTGACGAGTCCTTCGGACCAGACTGAATGAGGGCTACGCTGACCTCCTAGTCACCATTAAACCAGTCTGGTCCTGACGAGTCCTTCGGACCAGACTGAATGAGGGCTACGCTGACCTCCTAGTCTCCATTTAACCAGTCCGGTCCTGACGAGTCCTTCGGACCAGACTGAATGAGGGCTACGCTGACCTCCTAGTCTCCATTAAACTTGTCCGGTCCTGACGAGTCCTTCAGACCAGACTGAATGAGGGCTACGCTGACCTCCTAGTCTCTATTAAACCAGTCCGGTCCTGACGAGTCCTTCAGACCAGACTGAATGAGGGCTACGCTGACCTCCTAGTCTCTATTAAACCAGTCCGGTCCTGACGAGTCCGTCAGACCAGACCGACTGAGGGCTACGCTGACCTCCTAGTCTCTATTAAACCAGTCCGGTCCTGACGAGTCCTTCAGACCAGACTGAATGAGGGCTACGCTGACCTCCTAGTCTCTATTAAACCAGTCCGGTCCTGACGAGTCCTTCAGACCAGACTGAATGAGGGCTACGCTGACCTCCTAGTCACCATTAAAATTAGTCTGGTCCTGACGAGTCCTTCGGACCAGACTGAATGAGGGCTACGCTGACCTCCTAGTCTCCATTTAACCAGTCCGGTCCTGACGAGTCCTTCGGACCAGACTGAATGAGGGCTACGCTGACCTCCTAGTCTCCATTAAACTTGTCCGGTCCTGACGAGTCCTTCAGACCAGACTGAATGAGGGCTACGCTGGCCTCCTAGTCTCCATTAAACTTGTCCGGTCCTGACGAGTCCTTCAGACAAGACTGAATGAGGGCTACGCTGACCTCCTAGTCTCCATTACACCAGTCCGGTCCTGACGAGTCCTTCAGACCAGACTAAATGAGGGCTACGCTGACCTCCTAGTCTCCATTAAACCAGTCCGGTCCTGACGAGTCCTTCAGACCAGACTGAATGAGGGCTACGCTGACCTCCTAGTCTCCATTAAACCAGTCCGGTCCTGACGAGTCCTTCCGCAGAAGGTCTCCACAGCAATATTCCACAAAACGGGCAATAGTCAAATTTTCTGATCAAACTAAGCCTTCAGTTTATTCCAGCAAACAAACGGGAAACTCTGCGATGGCAGCCTGTAGATCAAAGCTATAGAGGATGAGCTTTTATTTCCGGGTGGATCATCTCAATCAGTGGTCCTCCTATCTGTCAATCATTCTGGTGATATGTTTACGTAAGGCCGTCTTAAGTACTCGTCCCTTTAGCTTTCTTTTTCTGCCTACTTTTAGGCGTATCTGTGGTGAGCTGCAGTTTCAGTCATTAAGGCTCACCTTTTTCACCGTGGTTCTTTTAAAATCGCCGACGGTCAGAAGAGATAAAGTGTCTTTGAAGTGAAGAAAAGAAAGGCCTCAGAAGAGGCAGATATATTCCAAAATGTTTTGCCCGGAGAGCTCTCCTCGCAAAGTATTATTGGATTTGCTGTCACAGCGGCCTACTGTCACCATAAGCTGTTGGGCAGCGACAGCTTATGGTGACAGCAGGCCACAAAGATGGCGCAGGCGCCGCGCGGTGGACCAGCGGGGAAGTGATCATCTGTCCGAACGGTCAGGACGTCAGACACAGTTAGCTGGTATGCGCTATCAGAACAGCAACTTTTATACAGAGTGGGCATGAGCAGAAATGGGCTCTCGCACGCGCATTTCTATTTTATTTATTTTTTTAAGTGGAGAGGGCAGGTCTTTTAAAAATTTAAGGGAGAAAAATAATTCAAAGCAGAAAAAAAAATCAACAGGAAAGAAGAAAAATCCCAAATGGACTTAATAAAAGTGCAACTTTCCTTTTCTCGCTCTTTTCCAGTGAGGTTGTGAAGTTGGTTTGGCTTTAAATAGGGTTAAAAAGCAATAATAGGAGACAAGGTGCTGCAGCTAGAGCACCCTCTGCTGGCCAAAAGGCTAACAGCAGCAGGTATTCCCAGCCTGTTTCTGCAGCATACAACAGAGTTTCTTTATAGTTTTCATTTAATGCTTTGAAGCAGCTCTTTATTCTGGAGACGGACCTGTACTGTGGGACAAAGCCTGACTCGTTTTGCCTAAATCGAGTTTCTGGCGTTTTCTTGGTTCATGTGCACTCATTCCCACAGGCTACTGATGGGAGGAACATTAAAACTGGCAGAAAGACGAGGAAGGAACCAGAATGAAGGTAAAATCCACCTGCAGCTCCACAGACTGACCTTCTTCTTCTCTGGTTCCTGTTTAGAGTCTTCAGACGGCGGCGCTCATGGGAACCACGTGGAGGACGAGTTATAACCACTGGACCTGGAAAACTTCTTCACTATTTATTGACTCCTTCTCAGCTCTTTGCCTTTTTTAATCGCCTCGTTTTTTTTTTTTTTTTTTTTTATTGGCCCGTTTGTCCAGTTCTGACTCCATTCTAAGACCCCCCCACCCCCCTGTCTAACTGGTTTCACTGGGACACTCTGACGCTGCTGCCTGTGGACCCAGAGAGAAAAAAGCCCGGTTTAGTCCGAGTCCTGAGCCAAAGTGCGGAGCTGCCATCTCCAGCCACCGGGGGCGCTATCACTTCATCACAAAGTTGAATAAAAATAGTTCAGAAGTAAAAAGAAGTAAATGTAACATTTCATCAGGATCCAGTCTGGTTTAAACCGGATCTTCAAACTGGATTACTTGAAGCGGTTCTGGAGCGTTGGGCGTGGACCTCATGGGTTCCATGTCAGTGGAGGGGGGGGGGGGGTGTAGCACCGACTTGGTTCCGGTTCGCAGCACAGCTGTTGGACAAGGTTTGGTCTGACTGGGGAACCAGTGGGTGGACTGGTGTCACTGGTTTCACTCAGTCGGGCCGTAGGACGTTCCCCCTGATCGGGTCGGAGATCAGGACGGATTTTGTTCCAGAACCAGAAGAACTTTGGGTGGTTTTTCCTTTAATAAAGAATCTGTTTGAACCTCGTCTGTCCTGTTTGCTTTGAGGAAGCGGGACACCTGATTGGACGAACCAGCGAGACGTTAGAAAGGATGCTGACCTTAAAACTGGTTATTTTCTGTAGAAGAACCAGTACCAGCCCTGTTTCACCTCTGGACCCACCAGAACCGGGCTTTGGGTCGGATCTGTGACTTTGGAGCGAAAAGACAAACAAGATTCTGATGATGATGAAAAGTTTGTTTGTGAATAAAGTTTTCTTTATTTGAATTGGCTGTTTTGAGTGTGAGTGATTTGATTAAACATTGGATGCCCCCCCAACCAGATTAGATGGATAATCTGAGACTAAAAGCATTCAAATTAATTTCTTCAGTTTAACTGAGAGGAAACTATTAAAGCTCAGATGTTCCTTAAACAGTGCAGATAATATGATGTAGAAAAGAATGGAAAAACTACTATCTTTAATATGCTGTCAATTCTAAACTGTAAAATAATTTGAAAAAATAATTTTGAAATATACGTCCATAAAACAAAAGCTAAAGTGCTAAAATACTTCAGCAGCTTTTTATCTCCAATTCACATCATCTCAGGTCGCTTTTCATTTTCTAATAGAGTTGGTTGCCAATGTGACTCCATAGCTCCCTGCTAACCTCAGCAGGCATGTTAGGTAGCACGTTAGCAGCGGTTCCAGGCCCGCCGATGGGGAATAAAGCCCCCAGGGAAAAAAACAATAAATTTGAAAAACATGGAAAAGGATCCCGGGCGACTTTCACTTCTGCCAACAGAATAAACCCAAATAATAGTTCAAGAGATTCATTGAACATTTTTGGTTTGAGAGCAAAGCAATGAAACCAATTACCGTATTGGCTCAATTATAAAACGAGTTTTTTTTTTTTTTTTGTTAAAAGTGATGTTAAATTGTTTGGTCATCTTATAAGGGTCTGACCAATTATACAGGCTGGCAGAGGTCTGGGGCCGCTACACCAACGCAGCAGCAGAGGGCACCATTTCTTCTCAAGCCAGTGACCTCACTGTGGCTGGAGTCATATTTCTATCACAACAGAGAAGACAAGGATGCTACAGATGGAGAGTTGCTGAACAGAGAGTCAGAAAAGTTCGCAGACATTTGAGGGGGAGTTATGGAGCCAGTTTTAAAATAATGATGGACAGCGCAGGCATCAAACAACCGCCAGGATGCAAGGAAATATGGAGTTATAGAGAGCAATGCCAGAGGATGATGCATTGAATAACACAGTCTGGAAAATTCCAACTGCAAAAGCTAATAAAGACATAGCAGAGCTGCAAGGTGAGAGTGGGAGTGACAGCGAGCCGCAGGGTGAGAGTGGGAGTGACAGCGAGCCGCAGGGTGAGAGTGGGAGTGACGGCGAGCCGCAGGGTGAGAGTGGGAGTGACGGCGAGCCGCAGGGTGAGAGTGGGAGTGACGGCGAGCCGCAGGGTGAGAGTGGGAGTGACGGCGAGCCGCAGGGTGAGAGTGGGAGTGGCGGCGAGCCGCAGGGTGAGAGTGGGAGTGACGGCGAGCCGCAGGGTGAGAGTGGGAGTGACGGCGAGCCGCAGAATGAGAGTGGGAGTGACGGCGAGCCGCAGGGTGAGAGTGGGAGTGACGGCGAGCCGCAGGGTGAGAGTGGGAGTGACGGCGAGCCGCAGGGTGAGAGTGGGAGTGACGGCGATCTCCAGGGTGAGAGTGGGAGTGACGGCGAGCCGCAGGGTGAGAGTGGGAGTGACGGCGAGCCGCAGGGTGAGAGTGGGAGTGACGGCGAGCCGCAGGGTGAGAGTGGGAGTGACGGTGAGCGGCAGGGTGAGTGTGGGAGTGACGGCGAGCTCCAGGGTGAAAGTGGGAGTGACGGCGAGCTCCAGGGTGAGAGTGGGAGTGACAGCGAGCTGCAGGGTGACAGTGGGAGTGACGGCGATCTCCAGGGTGAGAGTGGGAGTGACGGCGAGCCGCAGGGTGAGAGTGGGAGTGACGGCGAGCCGCAGGGTGAGAGTGGGAGTGACGGCGAGCTCCAGGATGAGAGTGGGAGTGACGGCTAGCCGCAGGGTGAGATTAGAAGTGACGGCGAGCAGCAGGGTGATAGTGGGAGTGACGGTGAGCTCCAGGGTGAGAGTGAGGGTGACGGTGAGCTGCAGGGTGAGTGTGGGAGTGACGGCAAGCTCCAGGATGAGAGTGGGAGTGACGGCTAGCCGCAGGGTGAGATTGGAAGTGACGGCGAGCAGCAGGGTGATAGTGGGAGTGACGGTGAGCTCCAGGGTGAGAGTGAGGGTGACGGTGAGCTGCAGGGTGAGTGTGGGAGTGACGGCGAGCTCCAGGATGAGAGTGGGAGTGACGGCTAGCCGCAGGGTGAGATTAGAAGTGACAGCGAGCAGCAGGGTGATAGTGGGAGTGACGGTGAGCTCCAGGGTGAGAGTGGGAGTGACGGCAAGCTCCAGGATGAGAGTGGGAGTGACGGCTAGCCGCAGGGTGAGATTAGAAGTGACAGCGAGCAGCAGGGTGATAGTGGGAGTGACGGTGAGCTCCAGGGTGAGAGTGGGGGTGACAGCTAGCCGCAGGGTGAGATTAGAAGTGACGGCGAGCAGCAGGGTGATAGTGGGAGTGACGGTGAGCTCCAGGGTGAGAGTGGGGGTGACGGTGAGTGGCAGGGTGAGTGTGGGAGTGACGGCGAGCTCCAGGGTGAAAGTGGGAGTGACGGCGAGCTCCAGGGTGAGAGTGGGAGTGACGGCGAGCTCCAGGGTGAAAGTGGGAGTGACGGCGAGCAGCAGGGTGAAAGTGGATGTGACGGCGAGCTCCAGGGTGAGAGTGGGAGTGACGGCGAGCTCCAGGGTGAAAGTGGGAGTGACGGCGAGCAGCAGGGTGAAAGTGGATGTGACGGCGAGCTCCAGGGTGAGAGTGGGAGTGACGGCGAGCAGCAGGGTGAGATTGGAAGTGACAGCGAGCCGCAGGGTGAGTGTGGGAGTGACGGCAAGCTCCAGGGTGAGAGTGGGAGTGATGGCGAGCCGCATTTTAAATGTGGGAGTGACGGCAAGCGCCAGGGTGAGAGTGGGAGTGACATCGAGCCACAGGGTGAGAGTGGGAGTGACGGCTAGCTCCAGGGTGAGAGTGGGAGTGACGGCGAGCAGCAGGGTGAGTGTGGGAGTGACGGCGAGCTCCAGGGTGAAAGTGGGAGTGACGGCGAGCAGCAGGGTGAGTGTGGGAGTGACGGCGAGCTCCAGGGTGAAAGTGGGAGTGACGGCGAGCCGCAGGGTGAGTATGGGAGTGACGGCGAGCTCCAGGGTGAGAGTGGGAGTGACGGCGAGCAGCAGGGTGAGATTGGAAGTGACAGCGAGCCGCAGGGTGAGTGTGGGAGTGACGGCAAGCTCCAGGGTGATAGTGGGAGTGATGGCGAGCCACAGGGTGAGAGTGGGAGTGACGGCTAGCTCCAGGATGAGAGTGGGAGTGACGGCTAGCCGCAGGGTGAGATTAGAAGTGACAGCGAGCAGCAGGGTGATAGTGGGAGTGACGGTGAGCTCCAGGGTGAGAGTGGGGGTGACAGCTAGCCGCAGGGTGAGATTAGAAGTGACGGCGAGCAGCAGGGTGATAGTGGGAGTGACGGTGAGCTCCAGGGTGAGAGTGGGGGTGACGGTGAGTGGCAGGGTGAGTGTGGGAGTGACGGCGAGCTCCAGGGTGAAAGTGGGAGTGACGGCGAGCTCCAGGGTGAGAGTGGGAGTGACGGCGAGCTCCAGGGTGAAAGTGGGAGTGACGGCGAGCAGCAGGGTGAAAGTGGATGTGACGGCGAGCTCCAGGGTGAGAGTGGGAGTGACGGCGAGCTCCAGGGTGAAAGTGGGAGTGACGGCGAGCAGCAGGGTGAAAGTGGATGTGACGGCGAGCTCCAGGGTGAGAGTGGGAGTGACGGCGAGCAGCAGGGTGAGATTGGAAGTGACAGCGAGCCGCAGGGTGAGTGTGGGAGTGACGGCAAGCTCCAGGGTGAGAGTGGGAGTGATGGCGAGCCGCATTTTAAATGTGGGAGTGACGGCAAGCGCCAGGGTGAGAGTGGGAGTGACATCGAGCCACAGGGTGAGAGTGGGAGTGACGGCTAGCTCCAGGGTGAGAGTGGGAGTGACGGCGAGCAGCAGGGTGAGTGTGGGAGTGACGGCGAGCTCCAGGGTGAAAGTGGGAGTGACGGCGAGCAGCAGGGTGAGTGTGGGAGTGACGGCGAGCTCCAGGGTGAAAGTGGGAGTGACGGCGAGCCGCAGGGTGAGTATGGGAGTGACGGCGAGCTCCAGGGTGAGAGTGGGAGTGACGGCGAGCAGCAGGGTGAAAGTGGATGTGACGGCGAGCTCCAGGGTGAGAGTGGGAGTGACGGCGAGCAGCAGGGTGAGATTAGAAGTGACGGCGAGCAGCAGGGTGATAGTGGGAGTGACGGTGAGCTCCAGGGTGAGAGTGGGGGTGACGGTGAGTGGCAGGGTGAGTGTGGGAGTGACGGCGAGCTCCAGGGTGAAAGTGGGAGTGACGGCGAGCTCCAGGGTGAGAGTGGGAGTGACGGCGAGCTCCAGGGTGAAAGTGGGAGTGACGGCGAGCAGCAGGGTGAAAGTGGATGTGACGGCGAGCTCCAGGGTGAGAGTGGGAGTGACGGCGAGCTCCAGGGTGAAAGTGGGAGTGACGGCGAGCAGCAGGGTGAAAGTGGATGTGACGGCGAGCTCCAGGGTGAGAGTGGGAGTGACGGCGAGCAGCAGGGTGAGATTGGAAGTGACAGCGAGCCGCAGGGTGAGTGTGGGAGTGACGGCAAGCTCCAGGGTGAGAGTGGGAGTGATGGCGAGCCGCATTTTAAATGTGGGAGTGACGGCAAGCGCCAGGGTGAGAGTGGGAGTGACATCGAGCCACAGGGTGAGAGTGGGAGTGACGGCTAGCTCCAGGGTGAGAGTGGGAGTGACGGCGAGCAGCAGGGTGAGTGTGGGAGTGACGGCGAGCTCCAGGGTGAAAGTGGGAGTGACGGCGAGCAGCAGGGTGAGTGTGGGAGTGACGGCGAGCTCCAGGGTGAAAGTGGGAGTGACGGCGAGCCGCAGGGTGAGTATGGGAGTGACGGCGAGCTCCAGGGTGAGAGTGGGAGTGACGGCGAGCAGCAGGGTGAGATTGGAAGTGACAGCGAGCCGCAGGGTGAGTGTGGGAGTGACGGCAAGCTCCAGGGTGATAGTGGGAGTGATGGCGAGCCACAGGGTGAGAGTGGGAGTGACGGCTAGCTCCAGGGTGAGAGTGGGAGTGACGGCGAGCAGCAGGGTGAGTGTGGGAGTGACGGCGAGCTCCAGGGTGAAAGTTGGAGTGACGGCGAGCAGCAGGGTGAGTGTGGGAGTGACGGCGAGCTCCAGGGTGAAAGTGGGAGTGACGGCGAGCCGCAGGGTGAGTATGGGAGTGACGGCGAGCTCCAGGGTGAGAGTGGGAGTGACGGCGAGCAGCAGGGTGAGATTGGAAGTGACAGCGAGCCGCAGGGTGAGTGTGGGAGTGACGGCAAGCTCCAGGGTGATAGTGGGAGTGATGGCGAGCCACAGGGTGAGAGTTGGAGTGACATCGAGCCACAGGGTGAGAGTGGGAGTGACGTCGAGCCACAGGGTGAGAGTTGGAGTGACATCGAGCCACAAGGTGAGAGTGGGAGTGACGTCGAGCCACAGGGTGAGAGTTGGAGTGACATCGAGCCACAGGGTGAGAGTGGGAGTGACGGCCAGCCACAGGGTGAGAGTGGGAGTGACATCGAGCCACAGGTTGAGAGTTGGAGTGACAGTAGCAAATGTCTGAGAGGAAAATGCAGGTTTCTGAGACGTTCTGTGAACAAAGTTCAGATTGAATTCAAGATGAAGTGTTAAAAGATTTCATTTAAATGCGTTATTAGTGTGTTTTTTTAATTTTCATTGTGCATTTTCACAAATCTTTTAATGCAATATTGAAATTAATGACATTGTTAGCACTAAAATATAAAATAGTTTCTGGTTTATGAGTCTTTTTCTTTTTGTTCTGTTCCTAAAAAATGTTCCTGAAAAGAACGGGTGGTTTTAAAATCAGGGTGGTCCTATATTCAGGTCAGTACGGTACATTCAGTAAGATTATGGATTTTTGCCTCAAAGGATTTAAATGAAAACATAAAGAGTATATAAAAGAGTGAAATAATAATCCAAAAGAACTGAAAGTATATTATCACTTTGCAATAATAAGAAACTAAGCTCTTGGGCTAAAAATCAAAATCTTTTCACTGAAAATATTTTCTCTTGACTGAAAATGTCACAAAGCAGACGAAGGCGTCCTGCACATGAGGCGCAGCGGCAGCTGTTAGAGCTCGCTCTCATCCATCATTGGCTTTATCCTCTGCACTGTGAGCGTACTCCACCAATAATCTTTAGAAAGAGAACTTTAAAGGCTCTCCAGGAAGCCCTCCAGCAGGGGGAGACAGCCAATCACCAACGGACGGACTCCTTCCCCACCGACCACAGGAGGACGGTTCGGAAGAGCTTAGGGCCCCACAGTTCTTTATCCCACAGAGAAGGTCCTTTCTCTGTCTGGATCTGCTCCACAAAGCGGCCATACCTACCGTCGGCTCACAGTGCTGTTGGACATTAAAGCTGCCTTTGGGAATCTGAAGTGGATCCACACCGGTTCGCCAAAGTCTCCATGGTGACAGCCAGGAGCACTTTCAGGTCAATATGGTGGTTTTTGGCCACATTTGTCACACAGTCTTCAACGCTTTCACTAGCTGCTCCTCCGGTCTTTGGTTTGCAACCAACATAGACCAACCCTGAGATAAGAAGTCTGAGAACTGGTCTACAGTTGGAGAGGGACCATTTCCAAACTACACATAGAAGTGGTTTTACTGCTTTACAAATGGGAAACAAAACTCTAAAGGTAGCTGCTTAGTAGAAATGGCCTTGGATTAATTTATGAACAGAAAGACGGTTGCTTCTCCTCCACCTTGTGCAGAAGGTCAGCTTTGATCTTTTTAGGTACATTTTAATGTGTTTGGAACAAACTGATGTCTGCCAAAGTTAGAGCTTTTTCAATGGCCACACCACAGGTGATGTAGTACTGGCACAAGCAAAAATATTTCACATATGAAGGTAAGAGCGGCCCGACAAATAAAAAAGAAAAAGAAAACAAACAGGAAAGAAGAAAGAAATGAGAGAAGAGGAGAGTATCTGTGTGCAGATGTTCACTCCTACTCTCACCCTGCTGTGTGAAACCATTTGCCCATCTGTTCACAGGACATCAGAACCAAAGTTATCGGATTATAGATTGAATAAATGTAAATAAAACAAGTAGAGTTAGTCTAGATTTCAGCAGAAGCTGCTCAACATGATGGGCGAAGAGGAGGAGGAGAATAAACCATTAACACAACGTCACCTATCAGCTACAGGAACATTGCTGTGAATTGACTGGTGTCAATAAAACCAATGACCTTAGGTCATAAAAAATCATTATTGCTCATCTGATTTTTATAAAACTGGACTGAAACTTAAATTAAGGATGAGAAAATGTCATGACATAGAGAAATGTAATTCCCCAGAAGATCAATCAGCAGAGTGAGAAGTGTGTGTTTTACTGTTGAAGGGTAGAAGCTGCTGCGCTATGAAGACGCTTTCAGTCCACTTTGAGCTTCTGAATATTATTTCACACCGTTTCGTGGCATTGCTGTAGAGTCAATTTCCCCTGCTGATACCGGCTCACCCAGGAGGAGAAATCCTGTAAAGACTGGATACAATCAGCTGGTTCTGGTCAGCAGAGGAATTGTAGAAATAAATGAATCACCTTAATGGCTGTCAGTTCATATGTCAGCTTTCAATAGTCCCGCCCACCGGCCCAGTTCACCTCATGGTGGAGTGATGATGTCAGTCCCAGCAGAGCAGAGGAGCTCAGGCAGCTGAAAAATAAAAAATAAAAAACTCTTTGTTCCTCTGGGAGAGTTTGTTTGTGACGGGGAAGGTAAGACAGAAACACTAGTGCTTAATGATAAAATGTCAACCGCTTCAGATTCTATGGATTCCTCCTAACTAATATATTACTAACAAATATAGAATCTACCATTTTAATTAGCCCTCACCAGGTACAATTACTCATTATGGTATTTTCAATGCTGTATGTCTTTTCATGGCAAGCTAGAGTATTTAGCTTATTTCTAGGATTTTTCACATATACAATTATTATTAATAGTTTTTAACCAATAAATTCACCATTGAGTTTTTTCTATGGAGATTAACAAATAACCTTTATAATAATATATAACAGCCTCAAACATTTCTTGTTAGTTTTCATGTTTCCATTCGGCTCAGACTGTCCAAACAATGTCTTAAATTTATTTGGCTTTAAAAAGAACCAGTTTTGTTATAATCTTCTTGTTTAGGAGTCTCGACTGACTGTTTGTAATAAATATCCTGTTGAAACACCTGGATGACAGATTGAAGGACGGGAGGCGAAGAAGCTCAACCAGCTGATAAAGAAGGTCGGCTCTGTTCCTCTAGAACCTCTGGAGATGAAGAAGATGATGGACAGCAGTGAGCACCTTCTTCATCAGACTGTTAGACACCAACAGTGTCTTCAGTCAGAGGCTGATTCAGATCCGCTGTAGACAGACCTCTACAGGAGATCCTTCCTGTCTTCAGCACCTGGATAAAAAAAAGCCTCAGAATTACAAACACATTTCATCTCCCTTTGGATTTAGACTGAATCCAACTGTCAGAAGAATAAAACACATATTTACCAAACTAAGGAAAGTCTGTGTTTCTGTCTCAGACAACAAAACCAGTTTCTTCAGGCGAGCTTTGGTGGCGCAGTGGTTAGCGCACACGACCCATGTAAGGAGGCCTTTAGGCTGATTTATACTCAGAAACCAGGTCGTCTACGTGTGTGTCACAGTGAACGCAGAGACGCCCGCCGTCGCAGACACTCTGCTCCACCTCTCCAAAACTGCATGTGACCACAGACAGTGCCGCAGACAGGAGGCCTCTGATTGGTCAAATCTACATCCGCTCTAGACTATGTGTATTTCCTGTTTGGTTTCTTACCGGCTGGTTTTGTTGGTCTGACCGCCATTGTGGAAAATGACTGGTGAAGTTGGACCAGCTAGCAGAGTGAGGTGAGAACGCTGTGTACCTTTTTCCACCTGGATTCCCGCTCTTTTTGGCCCTCATGTCCCTCCGTTGTCGCCCAAACTTGCCCCCACTTCCTCACCGCCTCGGCCGTATCTAGACCCAATGCTAGTTCCTGATTGGCCCTCTGGCGTTTTGGCGTAGAATAACGTAGCTCAGACCTGCTTCAATATTGGGCAGAAATCATAAATACCTGTGACACACTGCTGGGATGATAACCAGACCTTCAGTCCTCGACGTGGGCGACCTGGGTTTGAATCTGACCTGTGGTCCTTTCCTCCATGTCTCTCTCTCTCTGTCATCCCCCCTTTACTGTCAGCCTGCCGTTCATAAAAATGAGCCACTAGTGAACTAAAAACTCCAAAAAACCCAACATTTTCTTCTCTAGCTTCCAAAGAAAAGGGTCTGATTGTTGAACCATTGACCTGGACTTTTCAACCTGGAATCCAATGAGCTGCTCTTGAAAGAGAAAGTCGGGGGAAACCACAGAGTGATGTCACGGAAGGTCCCACTCAGCAGAGCTCATATAGAGCGAGGGCAGAGGAAGCTCAGGCAACAGTAGAGAGTAAAAATGAAGCTGCAGCTCTGTGTCTTCTCGCTCCTCTTCCACGGTGAGTTTCCTTTATTTCTACTAGTTTCACTGCAAAACTTGGTTTTCTGAATGTTTTCTTTTGAACAGAGAAACGTACGCATTCCGATCTGAGTCAAGTTCTTTATGGTTTCACTTCTGAATGTTTAAACTCTCAGTGGCTCCTAACGATCAATTCCAGATTAAACTTGATGACAGTAAATCTAATCTGAAATGTTTTGTTTGCCGACAAACAACCTAAATATACGATGCTTTTATCAGATCATCTACAAGCAAATTGGTCAATTATAATTCAGCTTCAAAATAAAGTTTTTTTGACACATGTCCAAATGTAATGCATTGGTTAAATTAAAGTTTTGTTTAATAAAATCTGGCCTGAGCGACTCTCAGACCAGAACAGCTGAACTAGCAGGTAGTGCTTTGGTGATGAGGGGCCACGTTTAGACCAGATCACTTTACACAAATAAATATAAGATGTGGAAAACAAATATTGTTTATAAAAAGCTCTGGCAGTTTTTATTAATAAACACACATCAGCAGGGAGACTTCAAACGTGGAAAGTTGCATTAATCTGAACGGAGGTCAGATGAAGGCAATAGTTTTAATTTAAATTTAGAAAATGTTTACCAGAGTTGAACTGTTCCTTAGAATTAAATTCTGAAATTATTCTAGGATTTCTATAAAACGTTAGACATTAAGTGTTAAATTCCCAAATCATCTTCATTTAGAAGATCAGACTTTCCAGATAAAGATCGTTTTGCCGTCTGTTTGTTTAAGGGGATTATCTTTAAAGGATTTCAGCAGCTTATACTGGTTTAATATTTCAGTGGGTCAACCCAGCAAGATGACCACTGGCTGATGAGCAAGGCTGTTAGCATTAGGGAGATAAATCTGACGGTCGTCAGCAAATCTGAAAATCCTGAAAAAAAAAACTACAGAAATCATAAATGTTTTTCAAAATGAGTCGTTATGAAAGCTGGACAGGATGAGCGTGCAATTAAAGACCAAAGATGGCGGCGAACAGAACCGCGGTAGAGCTGAATGTTTGGTGTCTGAAGATCCTTTCAGATAATTTCCTTCAAGAAATGAAAATATCTGGAAAACGTTCGGCAAAATATAATATAAGCAAAATGGATAAAGCTTTGCCAAAGAACCACAGGACAAAAAACGATTCACTCTAAAGACATTTAACACTAACGCTACGTTCAGACCGCTAGCAGCAGCTAGTTTCCATGCAAAGTCAACGGTTGACGCGCAGCAGAAGGTCCTGCAGCGTCTAGAGCAGCAGGAGCAGCAGGAGCATCTGAGGCGCCTCAGAAGCAGCAGCTGCTGGAGTTGGAACAATGTAACTTTATCTGCTGGACGCACCGCATCAACCAATCAGAGAAGCTGATCTGGGAGCTGGCCACCAACAGTAGGGGAGAACCGTGAAGAGGCTCCCGGGCCTGAGGCAGCTGCTGCTGGGGATTCCCAGTGACAGCGCAGCGCCGGTATGTGGGGGTCTGAGCGGCTCCCACAGAGAAATAATCTTTGAAGGCAGGATGGTAATCTGGATGAACTGACTGCACAGACCATGTTTTCAGGAGGACTTTCTCACTTCAACATAGATTCTAACTACTTTCTACCCGCTGATCACAGCTAATATACGTAGCAAAGCTGCTCTCTGCATTGAACACAGGAGCAGCAGAAGCATCTGATGCATCTGGACTCACTTTACTGGACGTCTGACCTTAATGATGAAGCAGCAGAAGCTTCTAGACTCACTTTACTGGACGTCTGACCTTAATGACGAAGCAGCAGAAGCTTCTAGACTCACTTTACTGGACGTCTGACCTTAATGACGAAGCAGCAGAAGCTTCTAGACTCACTTTACTGGACGTCTGACCTTAATGATGAAGCAGCAGAAGCTTCTAGACTCACTTTACTGGACGTCTGACCTTAATGACGAAGCAGCAGAAGCTTCTAGACTCACTTTACTGGACGTCTGACCTTAATGACGAAGCAGCAGAAGCTTCTAGACTCACTTTACTGGACGTCTGACCTTAATGACGAAGCAGCAGAAGCTTCTAGACTCACTTTACTGGACGTCTGACCTTAATGACGAAGCAGCAGAAGCTTCTAGACTCACTTTACTGGACGTCTGACCTTAATGACGAAGCAGCAGAAGCTTCTAGACTCACTTTACTGGACGTCTGACCTTAATGATGAAGCAGCAGAAGCTTCTGGACTCACTTTACTGGACGTCTGACCTTAATGATGAAGCAGCAGAAGCTTCTTTGCTGCTTCCGGCGCTCTGCGGCACCTTTTTATGTTCATTTTAGTGACGTTAACGTTTCTAAGCCAGCTCAGATATTTTACCTGCTTTCCTTTTATATCTTGTATACATGTTGACCTTATAAGCCGCTGATGGAGAGTATCAGTAGGCCCCGCCCACTGCTATTAAGCTGGTTTTCCAGACGGCGTCTGTTTCTCAGCCCACAGGAAAGAAAAACAGTCAGAGCCCCCGATCATCAGCCTACATCTCATCTGTTTGCTTTCACACCTGCCCCACTTTCTCTGTCAGCCTTCAGAAGTGGTCACAGTACTTCCTGTCAAAGCAGGAAGTCGGCAGAGGGGGGTGCTCACTAGTAGTGTATCTTTTAAGGTCACACCACCTCCACCCACACAAACACTTACAGACAGGGGAACCGATGAGTCAATCTGTGGGAAAAAGCTTCACCTTCGGACAGGAAGCTCTCATTGTCCAACCTGCTGGTTTAACTGGTTCCAGTTCATGTTTGAATGTTGTGGAAAGCTGAGAAACTGTGTTAGAAATGCTCCTCAGGCACCAAGCCAGTGCTTCATGGAACTAAAGGTTTCTGTTGTGCTTTAGTTTCAGTTGCAGAGAAGTCAGAGAACATGACTGTGCTGAGGGGCCAGACCGTGGATCTGAGCTGCTCCATCAGGAACGCTGTGCGGAGCAACGTGGAGTGGAGGAACCCAAACAACGACATCATGTTCTTCAACAAACATTCAGGTGAATATTCCTGTGTGAACCACACCATCCCAAAACACCAACAAACTGGATTCATTGGTGGGTTTTTTCTCTAGTATTGAGGGACAGACACTATAGCATCACCAAGCTGACCAACTCCCAGTTCTCCATCAGCATCTCCAACATCACCTTTAAGGATGGAGGCGTTTATACCTGCACACGATACGGAGACGTCCTGTCAGTGAAGACAGTCAGGCTGACCGTCCTGGGTGAGTTAGGCACCTAACCAGGCTTTCCTCTGACCCTGACCTTTGACCCTGACTTTCTCAGTGAATCAACATTCTGTCCATTTTCTCATCTTTTAAAGATTTTCCACGAATGTCGGTAAGAAGAAAGGGAGCAGAGTCTGTTGTGAAATGCAGCGCGAAGGCAAACAACCACCCGCCCAACATCACCTGGAAATTTGAAAATGGAACCGAATTTAAATGTAGGTTGAAAAAGAAGGAAGACTTTAAGATTGAAAAGTGTTTTTGACTAAGAAGAAAAAATGAGACAAAGAGCATCTGAAGTAGGAAGGCGGGGGAGGAACCAGCAGGAACCAGTTCAAACACGTTAATGGTAGAGATGATGTTTGTTGCTGATGAATAAACTCTGTTCTCCTCCACAGTTACTGGAGCCATACATAAGGAAGGCTACGCGTTTGTGACAGAGGCACATCTAGTGGTTTATCCCAGAGACGGCAGGGTGGTGGTGGAGTGCCTGGTCCACCACCCCGACCTGCACACCCCGCCTCTGATGAACTTTGTGAAAGTTGGGAAACAGAGTGAGTTCCTTTCCAGCTGCTTGTGGTATTTGTTGAAACCTGTTTCCAGTGAAGCACTTCTCCAAATCAGGGGGATCTCTGCGGAGGAGCCGCTGTAGCGTCATAGAGCAGGAGAAGCTCGGGGTTTTTCCCATCAGCTGCTCCATGATTCTGGCTCTAAGCTCTGAACTTCACTGACCAGAGAAACAGACTCAAACTGCTTCCTCTTTCTGTTCACCCAAAATACTTTGGTTTCCTCTTCTAGCTTAGAGGCATTTAATGTTTAGCAGCAATAAAAACATCTTTATGATTTAACCCTTTCCTCCCTGACAGGTAAGCAGCCCGGCTCCACCTCCGCCCCCCCGTCAGCCCGGCCGCCTGCACCGGGGACGACGGCGCAGACGGCCTTCATAGGGAGCAGCTCAGCACCGCACCTCACCCCCTCACACCTAAACACCCCCCCTCCTGCACCCAAAGAGCCGCTCACTTCCAGCCAGCCCGGGACTGTGACCCCAGAGGACCCCGCTACCTCTGGACGCCCCCCCCTCAGCACTGGTGGTACGAAGCAGTCCTTCTTTCTAAAGTATCTGCTCTCTGATCAAAACAGGCCTCAGAAGTTTTTTAAACGCTGTCCAGTTTCACTTCGCGGGGAGGAAGTACCATGTTCCTCAAAAGTGGAGCCACGTAGTTGTTCAGGTTTTCACCATCAAAACTCCACAAAACTAAGAGAAAACTTTGACATTTTCCGGCTGCTGTGTTTCCTGTCAGTCACTGGTTTTTCTGGTGGACGCTCACTGGTTCCCAGACCAGAACCAGTCTGCCACCAGGGTGAACTATGCTGCTGGTTTCCATGAGGCTGCTGTTGTCATGGTTCGCTCAGTGAGCTTATTTTAGATCATCCTACCTGCTGATGAGTCACAGCAGTTTTCATCTCATTCAACAACATTAAGCTCTAATTTATAAATGATGCGTTTAACTCAAGCTGTGGGCTTTTGAGATGGAAAGTCTCTCTATTTAAAGCCGTCTGTGGGCTGTCATGTCACACCATCTATTTCCGACTCGATGCAGATGTTGTGAGTGCTGATCTGATACCCATACATGGTCATGGCTTCTTATACCAGCTGCTGTTTGCTTCCTCTAACGGAGTCTGAATCAAATCCCTTTGATCACTGATTTCAGCTTTTAATCGTTGAATCACTGAATCATTAAAAGGATCTTTTCTGTTGTTCTGCAGCGCGTTTGTCCAACTCTACAAGTCCAGACCTGATCTGGCTGATGAACGACACCAGCAGCAGTGAAACAACCACCACCTCAGGTAGGATGTTTACTGAGAGGAAGGAGAAATCTGGTGTTTGCTGACATCTAGTGGCGACAGTAGATATCTTCCTGTAGAGCGCTTGTTTTACAAGCACTGAAGTTTTACTAACTGAATTATTCATACACTCTTCATCCGCCACACGCCTTATATGGAACAGCTGGGCTGAATGTTTTTGTTTTCTTTTAAGGTGATTTACCAGAGGATGTCACCTCATTTAATGCTACAGGGAAAAACCTCACAGGTAAAAACTTTTATTATCCATAAAAGTCCTGACTGGGTGGACTTGTAGTGAACTGTGATATGATGTCCCTTCCAGATTACTCTGACCCTGATAGGAGAATGGGCCGCACCCAGAACACGTCCCTATTAGTGCTGCTGGTCACGTCTCTGATCTTCTGCCTTCTGGTCGTCGTCCTTTTCTTTGCTATCAAGCTGAGGAGAGCACACATGGCCTGGAAGAGAGGTGAGCCGGGAACACTGCAGCAGCTAGATGATGCACAGCGATACTTTCCTCTGCTTACAGACGCTTCTATTCACCTGGAAAAACATCTTACAGTTTTTATTGTTACAGAGAATGAAGACTCGGACCCATCAGAAGCCAGCAGCAAATCTAAAACCAGTCAGGAGGAGAAGAAAACCCAGGACCAGAGGAGGAGAGGTACGATGGAGATCCCTCTGCTGGTCTAAGCCAGGAGTCTGCAACCTTTAGTCCAGCTAAATGAATATTACTTTTCATTAAACACAATCCGTCTGCTCCCCCTCTTGTTTTCCACTCTTTAGGAATGGAAAACAAGAGTTTGTTTTTAAGGTTTTGGAATAAGAAGAAAACGGGTCATAAGTTGAGGAATTATATTAAGTTGCGGAAATGAAATGTAAAAAACGACATATTTTCTGAGCTAACAAGAAAAATAGGTAGAAAAAACAAGTTTATGGTGATTAAAATATTCTTCTGTTCAAATATATTTTAAAATCCTGGATCTTCTAAGGCTGGAACTTGTTTAGTTCCACATTCTTAACCACTATGAGGATCCACTGCAGAGGCTCCAAAGAGCCATTTTGGCTCCGGAGCCGCAGGGTGCCGACCTCTGACCTAACTGACAGCAGACGCCATCAGGCATCCTGAGGGGGGATTCTTTCCTTAGATCAGGCTAATTGACATTAGAAGCTTTGAAAATGTGACGGGACTTTGGTGCAAAACGGTCTGCAGCGAATACTGTAGATAGGGTTAATGCCCCATATAGATATAAAACTTCCAGATTGATCTGTTCCTCTAAAGCAGAGGTCTTCAACAGGGGGTCCGTGACCCCTAGGGGGTCCGCGGAGGTACTGTATGGGGGTCGCAAAAGTTTTGGTTGATTACTTTTTTTTTTATATTCCCTCATGCAATTTTTTCCACTAATAGAAATGTCTTTAAATCCACATTAACATGAATCCAACAGACTGTAGTAAACAGATAAATGGAGCCAGAAGATGTCTTTCAGTCATCAATGCTCACATTCAGCGACACACAGGAGCTCTTTCAACCTGGGCACCGTTTCATTCACAACACCTGTCCCATCAACCAGGAATCAGAAATACTTTAATAATCCCAGGGAGGGATTACTTTAGTTACATTACTCCATCTGTAATAGAGTGACTATAGGACCAGTTTGATAGAACACTATTTTATACAATATCTATAATTAGGGGTCCCCGCTCCATCGCCATCAGTTTGGGGGTCCTTGGCTTTGAAAACGTTGAAGACCCCTGTTCTAAAGGGCTGTTCTTAGAAACGTGGCTTCAGTTCCTCCCTCTCTTCATCACACAGGACTCTTCAACACGGTGTTTGCTCAGTACGCTGTGGAGGAGCCAGCAGCAGCAACCTCAGTCATCAACCCAAACGCCACGCCCGCCACAGCGCAGACGTCTCCTGGTCCGGTTCAGAGTGCAGTCAGAAGCGATATAAAGGAGACTTCACTTTAATGCCATGAAATGATGACATCATTGACTGAGAAGCAGCAGGGGGCGGGGCCTCCGTTTATACTTGGAAACCTTATTATTGTGAAGACGATCCTTTATGGAGAATCCTTTTATAGAACTACTGCCATGTTGGTGGTTAGAATTAACCGTTCTAGAGACTTTGTGAATTTTACGTATAAAGGTGTCAAACTTTGAATGCCACATTAAAGTCAAATGAGGCAGTTTGCTGTTAGAAGCAGGAAATCCTTTTAGTTTGAATGTTTCAGCTCTTCATCAGCCAGACTGTGGAAAACATGGATGCTTTTCTGTGTGATGATGAAACTGATGGAGTTTATGACTAATAACTGCACCATGTCCTCTTCTTTTTAAACTGTCTGTTTTCACTGTTTACATCACAAAAAATGTCTATTTTTTTACAGCACAAATGTAAATATATGGTTTAATTTTGTACTAATAAATATTATTTTGCTAGAAAACATTGAGCAGCGTTTTTTCAATTCCTGAATGCTAACCATGATGATACATTATGGAACCCACACTGTCCGAACCTCATGTAGAGGTCAGTCCGCCCTAATCCCTATATAGAGCACTATGTAGTGGTCATTCCGCCCTAATCCCTATATAGGACACTATGTAGTGGTTAGTCCACCCTAATCCCTATATAGGGCACTATGTAGTGGTCATTCCACCCTAATGCCTATATAGGGCACTATGTAGTGGTCATTCCACCCTAATGCCTATATAGGGCACTATGTATTGGTTAGTCCGCCTTAATACCTATATAGGGCACTCTGCAGTGGTCAGTCTGCCCTAATCCCTATATAGGGCACTATGTAGTTGTCAGTCTGCCTTAATCCCTATATAGGGCACTATGTAGTGGTCAGTCCACCCTAATTGCTTACGTATTGGTTAGTCTGCCCTAATCACTATATAGGGCACTATGTAGTGGTCATTCCACCCTAATGCCTATATAGGGCACTATGTATTGGTTAGTCCGCCTTAATACCTATATAGGGCACTCTGCAGTGGTCAGTCTGCCCTAATCCCTATATAGGGCACTATGTAGTTGTCAGTCTGCCTTAATCCCTATATAGGGCACTATGTAGTGGTCAGTCCACCCTAATTGCTTACGTATTGGTTAGTCTGCCCTAATCACTATATAGGGTACTATGTAGTGGTTAGTCCATCCTAGTCCCTATATAGAACACTATGTAGTGGTAGGTCAAAATCCATTTATAGGGCACTATGTAGTGGTTAGTCCACCCTAAAATCCCTATATAGGGCACGATTTAGTGGTGATTCCGCTTTAATCCCTATATAGGGCACTATGCAGTGGTTAGTGAGCCCTATTCCCTATATAGAACACCATGGAGTTTTTTTTCCCACCTTAATCCCTATATAAGGTACTGTGTAGTGGTGATTCCACTCTAATCCCTATATAGGGCATTATGTAGTTGTCAGTCTTCCCTAATCCCTTTATAGGGCACTATTCAGAGGTAATTCTGCTTAAATTTCTATATAGGGTGCAACACAGTGGTTAGTCAGCCCTATTCTCTATATTGGGAACTATGTAATGGTTAGTCTGCCTTAATCCCTATATAGGACACTATGCAGTGGTTCTTTCTGCCCTAATCCCTATATAGGGCACCATGTAGTGGTGATTCCACTCTAATCCCTATATAGGGCACTATGCAGTGGTCATTCCACTCTAATCCCTATATAGGGCACTATGCAGTGGTTATTCCACTCTAATCCCTATATAGGGCACTATGCAGTGGTCATTCCACTCTAATCCCTATATAGGGCACTATGCAGTGGTCATTCCACTCTAATCCCTATATAGGGCACTATGCAGTGGTCATTCCACTCTAATCTCTATATAGGGCACTATGCAGGTGTCAGTCCGCTCTAATCCTTATATAGGGCACTATGCAGTGGTCATTCCACTCTAATCCCTATATAGGGCACTATGCAGTGGTCATTCCACTCTAATCACTATATAGGGCACTATGCAGTGGTCAGTTCACTCTAATCCTTATATAGGGCACTATGCAGTGGTCATTCCACTCTAATCCCTATATAGGGCACTATGCAGGTGTCAGTCCGCTCTAATCCTTATATAGGGCACTATGCAGTGGTCATTCCACTCTAATCCCTATATAGGGCACTATGCAGTGTCAGTCCGCCCTAATCCCTATATAGGGCACTATGCAGTGTCAGTCCGCCCTAAGCCCTATATTGGGCAGTATCTAGTGGGCAGTGCGCACTAATCCCTATATAGGGCACTATGTAGTTGTCAGTCTGCCTTAATCCCTATATAGGGCACTATGTAGTGGTCAGTCCACCCTAATTGCTTACGTATTGGTTAGTCTGCCCTAATCACTATATAGGGTACTATGTAGTGGTTAGTCCATCCTAGTCCCTATATAGAACACTATGTAGTGGTAGGTCAAAATCCATTTATAGGGCACTATGTAGTGGTTAGTCCACCCTAAAATCCCTATATAGGGCACGATTTAGTGGTGATTCCGCTTTAATCCCTATATAGGGCACTATGCAGTGGTTAGTGAGCCCTATTCCCTGTATAGAACACTATGGAGTTTTTTTCCCCACCTTAATCCCTATATAAGGTACTGTGTAGTGGTGATTCCACTCTAATCCCTATATAGGGCATTATGTAGTTGTCAGTCTTCCCTAATCCCTTTATAGGGCACTATTCAGAGGTAATTCTGCTTAAATTTCTATATAGGGCGCAACACAGTGGTTAGTCAGCCCTATTCTCTATATTGGGAACTATGTAATGGTTAGTCTGCCTTAATCCCTATATAGGACACTATGCAGTGGTTCTTTCTGCCCTAATCCCTATATAGGGCACCATGTAGTGGTGATTCCACTCTAATCCCTATATAGGGCCCTATGCAGTGGTCATTCCACTCTAATCCCTATATAGGGCACTATGCAGTGGTTATTCCACTCTAATCCCTATATAGGGCACTATGCAGTGGTCATTCCACTCTAATCCCTATATAGGGCACTATGCAGTGGTCATTCCACTCTAATCCCTATATAGGGCACTATGCAGTGGTTATTCCACTCTAATCCCTATATAGGGCACTATGCAGTGGTCATTCCACTCTAATCCCTATATAGGGCACTATGCAGGTGTCAGTCCGCTCTAATCCTTATATAGGGCACTATGCAGGTGTCAGTCCGCTCTAATCCTTATATAGGGCACTATGCAGTGGTCATTCCACTCTAATCCCTATATAGGGCACTATGCAGTGGTCAGTTCACTCTAATCCTTATATAGGGCACTATGCAGTGGTCATTCCACTCTAATCCCTATATAGGGCACTATGCAGGTGTCAGTCCGCTCTAATCCTTATATAGGGCACTATGCAGTGGTCATTCCACTCTAATCCTTATATAGGGCACTATGCAGTGGTCAGTTCACTCTAATCTCTATATAGGGCACTATGTAATTTTCAGTCCGCCCTATTCCCTATTCCCCACTAAGTACTGCCCTAGGGCAGTACTTAGTGGTTAGTCGGACTTAATCCCTATATAAGGCACCATGCAGTGGCCACTCCACTCTAATCCCTATATGTGTCACTATGCAGTGGTTAGTCCACCCTGATCCCTATATAGGGCACTAAGTAGTGCCCTATGTAGGTATTAGGGTGGATTATGCGATTATACTCTAACCTGATTTCTTTTTTTATTTTACACTTGTATAAAAAAATGACAAATAATCTGTCTAAGTCTTGTGGTTACGCAGTTTTATCCAAGTGTCCATATGTCTAGTGGATAAAAAAGTAGTTGGCTTAGTATTTCCCACAATGCACCTAGAAAAGTAGTGATCATGCATGGGCTGTGTTCAATTTTAAAGGCAGTATCCTCGAAGGACCCAGTCTATCTGGACTGGATCTTCCAAGGACCCGGTCTACCTGGACTGGATCCTTCCAGGTCCGTGAAAATAAGGAGACCAGAAGAGTTTTGGCTGTGGATTCAAACAGTTCCAGCCTTCTGCGGCTTTCTCCGTCATACGCTCTGTCGCCTAGCAACCGTGACAGTTGACAAACAAAGCAGGAAAAGAATGGATACCAAACTTTTCAAAACAGTTTTTTCTTTTTTTATTGTAAAGTGAACAAAGACTCATGAGAATCCAGAGTGGTAAAAAGGTGCCAACCACCAGGAGCATGAACAAACAAATGCAAATGTAGTGATAGAAACAAGGTGTAGAAAGTTAGGAGTAAATCTAAACATTGTATGTATAAAAATATATCTGCAAACTCACTTATATTCAACAGCAAAAAAAAAAAAAAAAAAAAAAAAAAAAAAAAAAAAAAAAAAAAAAAAGATAAAGACACTCTGGGTCCCTGAGAAAGACCCTTAACCCCACACTGCTCCCTGGGCACCTCACAGTGGCAGCCCACTGTAAGATAAATTAAGATCAATTTCTATCCTTTTTCTCAGAGGAGCTCCAGTTTTATAAACACAGGTTTATACTCTGATTTTATTTTGTATTTATTTTGATTCCTTTCTAACTTCCAGGCAACATATTTATGTTTTCTTTTTTTTTTTATTTGGGATGGAAAGAATACATTTAGAAATATTAAATGGTGAAATTAAAAGCAAAAGACAGTCTTAATTTCAGTTATTGTACGTCCCACTTTTGGACAATCATCAATCATTATGAGTGAGAGGGAAACTCATAGTGCGACGACATGCCCAAAGGGTTAAACAAATCAGAAAAACTTAGAAACACTGATCTAAATGTTCTTAGAAACACTGATCTATTGCTCTGTTCGAAAACCTAGGACTCATCCTTAGAAGGCCAGATTCGAAGGACGATGACGTCATAGCGCGGCGCCGAGGTCTGGTCGGATTCCAAGAGTCCTTGTTATGCATCCTTAAAATGCGTCCTTCTTTGCCTGATTTGAAGGACGGGTCCGATGTATCCTCGGTATCCTTGGATATCCCAGGATTCATTGCGAGACCAAGCAAGCTGTGATCAGAGGAAATGTTACTTGGCGCTGAACAGTGGTGAAAATTGGAAGTTTAGTTTAATATAATCCAGTCAGTGAATAGTTCCGTCTGAGATTAATGAAAATAGTTGTTTTAATGGTTATAGAGTCAGATATGTGGCGGTAATGTTTGATTTATCTAAAGGTTTTTATCTGTTACTGTGTAAATGGGTTTGGCTGGAATTTAAGGACAGATTCTAATATCTCTGCAGGGGGGGGGGACTATAAATCTGATAGGATTTAAATTATTTTATTGCTGTTTTGCACAATATGCTTAACTAAGAATTTTTGTTGTTGAATATTAAAGATTTTGCAGATAGATTTTTATACAAACATTGTTAAGATTTACTTATATCTTTCTACCCCTTTAATAGAATAGAAAATCCCTTTATTTTCCCATAATGGGCAAATTTACAGCAGCAGAAAGATTATTGAAAATG